AGAGACGGGGTTTCACCATGTTGACCAGGATGGTCTCGATCTCTTGACCTCGTGATCCACCCGCCTCGGCCTCCCAAAGTGCTGGGATTACAGGCTTGAGCCACCGCGCCCGGCCTGAGGGGTGACTTTTGATCAAAGATCCAAATATAGGAAGAAAGTAATAAAAAATGGAGAGAGTGGAGGTGAAGTGACCAGGCTAAAAGAACAGAAGCACAAATGCCCCAAGGGAAGAACATACTTGCATTCTCGGACTTGTAAGAAGGCCACATAGCCGGAATGGCATTAATAAGGAAGATAATGGTAGTAAATGAGATCAGAAAGATATCCAGAAGATCACAGTAAAAACTTTAGATTTGTTTGAAAATGTAATGAGAATTCATGAGAAAATTTTAAGCAGGCAACTAACTTAAAGCTGATTGTAGATCAGTAAATTCCACCAGGGTATGGAAGTAACACAGAAACAAGAGAGCAGTTGTAAGTCTAATCCAGTTTCTCATGTAAGAAATAAGGTTTGCTTTGACTCAAGTAGTCCAGGGGAGGTGATGCTAAGCGGTCAGATATACTTTGAAGATAGAGTTTATAGGATTAATTAAAACATTGAATTTAGGGTACCAGAGAAAGAAGTGAAGAATGGCCCCAAGGTTTCTGTTTTGAACAACTAGATAAATCATTCACTGAGTTATCAGTTACTGAGATGAGTAACACCAGAGGACCATGGTTGTAGAAGAAAATCACAAGTTCAATTTTCATGTGGTAAATCTGAGATACCTAGTAAATACCCAAGTACATATGTACTGGCAGTTGAATATACAAGTCTGGAGCTAAAGCTAGAGACTGGAGCTGGAAATAAAGATTTGAGAGTCACTGATCGTACAGGTTTATCTGAAGCTAAGGGACTGAATGAAAACACTTAGGTAGTAAATTATAATGGTTAAAAAATTCTTGTATTTTTTAACTAACCCACAATAAAAAAAGCTGACATGTTTTAGGATACATAATTAACTACAAATTTATCTAATAAAGTCAATAACTATTCAGTGTTTCTATCCTCCTAACATGAGATGGATCTTAACATACTTAAATTACTGATTGAATACACTCAGCAACTATTGTTTAGAGTTTTAGCTTTAATCTTAAAAAAAATTTCCAAATGTACAAACATCCAAAACATACTTGTCATCTTTATAGTCAAAGGGTAATCAAATTTCCTGATATTTCATCTATTTCTTTGCTCACTACTGTTTCTCATATTCCACACTTTCCCTCTGTTTTCACTTTCTGCTGAAGTATATAAATATTATATACATCTATATATATATATATATATATATATATATATATATATGTCTGTGAATATATTTGCTAAATTCTATAGACAATAAGCTGTTTTCATGTGCCTGAAAATTATTTTACTCTTGAAAGACACTTTGTTTTGGTATAAAATTATAGCCAGAAATATTTTCCTTCAATACTTTAAAGATATTTCCCCCACTGTCTTTTGGCTTAACCATCTAGCTAAGAGTATCTGCTGTCAGCCTATTCTTTTGTAGTTTGTCTTCTTTTCTGTAGTTTTTAAGGTTATTTCATCCTTGATGTTCCGTAGTTTCCCTATCACGCTTTGAGGACTAGATTTCTTTTTATTTATCCTGCTTATTAGATGAAGTGAAAATTCATGGGTTTCTTAATTTCTGGAAATTTCTCAGAATTAAGTTTTTATACTATCTCCTCCATTCTTTCTTGGACTTCCTATTGTGTAATGTTTAGTATTCTCAGTCTTTTTTATCTAAGCTGGTCTCCCATTTTATTTTTCTGTCTCTCTCATATTGTGTTCTGGGACAGTTCCTCAACATTATCTTCCATTTCACAAATTTATTCTTCAACTGTGTCCAGTCTACAGTTTTTCTCATTTACCAGCTTTTAAAAAAATTCAATGACCAGTCTAATTTATTCTTTTTATAATCGATTAGATTTTGTTTCATTTCTTCCTGGCTTTGTTTTATAATTCTTTTTAAAGCTGTATCATCATTTATCTCTTTGAGTGTTTTCAGCATACTTATTTAATTGTCTCTGTCTTAACTGCTCTGTAAAAAGATTTTCATTTGGAAAGAATCCCTGCTCTGTTAATTCTGTTGGCTGACTTTCTTAGCATTAGACTTTTTTCTTCTGTTTTGGAATTATGTTTGCTCATTTTGAGTGGAAAATTTCTGTTTTTCTCTATACTCACATCACTCTGACAGAGTTTTGTAGTTCCTTCCACCTAGTCCTCTAAGCTCCATTACCAGAAACAGGTTTCATGATTATATTTGGAGACTGTTATCCCCTGCAGAAGGGATCCTGCTAGATCCCTTCCAGGAGTCAATGGATAGCAAGGATCTACAGACCGTAAGCCCACAACTTCTAAAACGCAGTAGCCTCAGTCAACATGTAAATGGCCATTTCTTTCAATCTCCTTTTATTATTTGGCTATTTCTTCCAATCTCCTTTCATTATTTAGCCCCACCTCTATCAATGCTCTCTCCCTTTCCCCACTACCCCCCAAAGACATACATTCTCTAGCTTCAAATAGAAAGTATAACTCAGTTTCACTGAATCACAACTTTTAAACTATTAAAAGTTCTAATTATATTATTATACCTTTCCCTGAAAGTTCTGATTATTTCCCTAAAAGTTTCCCTAAAAGTTGTGATTATATTATCATACCTTTCCCAGAAGTTCCAAGATCCTTACCACTATCACCTTCTTTTGAACTCAGATCCAATGGCTTCAGCTCCACTACACCCACTGTTTTGTGTTTATAGTCTAGTTCTTCTCTATGGAGATGTTTAGCTTACATTTGATCCTCGCCATGTCTGGGTTTTATCTTTTAATACTTTACCAATTGTTCCCATTTGTTTGGCACAGAAGGGATTTTAAAAATGTAAATTCACTGTGCCCTGTTTTACTAGAAAACTATTCTAGATTTTTTTTATTGCATTTTAGGTTTTGGGGTACATGTGAAGAACATGCAAGATTGTTGTATAGGTAAACACATGGCAGTGTGATTTGCTGCTATTCTAGATTTAAAAAGAAATTATAAAATATAAAATATCTTGAACCTCTCCAAAGTTCTATAAGGCAGTGTGACCTCCACTTTCAATGAAGAAACTGAAGCTACAAGAAAGTTAAGTGTACTTTTATTAGTTATATAAATAATAAGTAATAAGGAAGTCAGGAATGTAATACAGATATGCTGACTCCCAGACATGTGCTCAATTTACTATAGAACTTAGTAATTTCTTGAAAATTTTTCCTAGCTTTTACTCAGATTCTCATATAATACAACCAAGTTGAGTTTTCTCCATGTTCCCTAGGCCATTCAAACAATCAGATGTTCCAGTATTACCTCCCAAGTCAAGAATAACACTAAATTCAAAATATCTTTGCTGGTCCCTAATTAACCCATAGTTTTATCAATTCTCTGCCTCTCAGTCTTGGCTTCTTCCTTCTTTAGTTCTATTATTAGGCTAGAGCTAGTCAGTCTTTCCTAGCTGCTTACTTTTTTTCATTATTAATGAACATAATGAGATTAATTCTAAATATACAGGAAATTCCATTCTCCCCAGGTAATACCAAACTGCATGCCTTTATTAAAAAGTATTGACTGAGCATCTACTATGTGTCAAGTACCACATGCTAAGTGTTAGAATTCAGTGATAAGCAAAAACAAACAAGGCCCCTGTTCTCATGGAACATTATACTCTAGAGAAAGAGAGCAAATCACACAATTTAATGTAAATTTATAATTGTCACAATTGATATAAAGTAGATATATCTGATATTCTAAAGGTCTATGAAAAAGAGGATAGGATTTTGTTGGAAAGGTTAAGAAGACTTCCTTGAGAAAGTAACTTTGAACTATAATCTAAGGAGAAAAAATTAACTACATGAAAAGAACAAAGTGTTTCTGGCTGAATAGACAGGATGTATAAGGGTCCTGATGTGAGTCAAAGTATTTGAGTATAGTGGCAAAAAGAAAGCACATGTTGCTAGTAAAGAAAAATCAAGACCATTATGTTAAGGTGTTTTGCCTCTATATTAAAAGAAATTACAAGCCATTGAAAAGGTTAAAGCAGAAGAGATGACAAATTGCATTTGAATTGTGAAGAAAATCAATATGGCTACAATGTACACAATGGATCAAAAATGGGCTTGACTAGATAAAGGGGTGAACCAGTTAGGTCACTGTAGTAGATAAGGCCAGAAGTAATAGGTTGAACTACTGTGATAGTGGTGGAGATGGAGAGAAGCAGATGACTTTGAGAAATATGTAGGAGGTAAAACCAATAGGACTTGACAAAGGAGTGGCTACACTGTAAAGAGGAAGAAACTCACCCATTGAAAACAATTAGACTTCTGATTTGCAGAATTAAATGTATTCTACCTTCACTAAGAGGTAACAGAGGCAGCCAAAGATTGATTATGAGTTGGTTTTGGACAAAGTAAATTTGAAGGAGATGAGATGATGGGAGATGATGTTAAACATGTGTCTAAAGCCTAGAGGTTTGAATCAGAGATATAAATTTGCAAGTTATCTACACATAAGTACTGACTGCAATAAAAACATGGAGGAGATTATCTAAGGAAAAAGTGTAGAACAAAGAGAAAAAAAGAACTCAAAAGAAAGCCTTGCGAAATTCCAACTTTAATGACTGAGCAGAAGATTATAAACTTGCCAAGGAATGAGAGAAAATGAGAGAAAAATATCTAGAGAGGTGGGAGAAAAACCAAGAAGGCGTCATGTCACAGAGTCAAAAGAAAACCATAATTCAATAAAAAGGTAATTGTTAACAGTATCAAATGCATAAAATAGGAATCTTTTTCTTTATCCAAATTTTAGGTCACAGTCAATACGGCTCCACTATAAATTCTTACTTTTCCAATTGTCTGTGTTTATATATACTTACTTAAAGTATTCATCAGAAGGCCACTGTTGTCTCGAAATCTATTATGACTGTCATCTATATCAGGAATCCTGCAATGTGTCATGGTAGGATGTCCTGAGACACAATTCCCTGTATCAGAAGTAGAGGATTTGCATTCTTCATCTTCTGAGTCACTAGAACTATCCTCACTACTTGAAGATGGTGAACTTTTGGAATCTGATGAGCTATCACAACTACTCATCTGGTCCATTAGACTAGCTTCTGCCTTCAGTTCTGAAAATAAGACAGAAATGAATAGATAGGTTAAATAAAAAATGTTAATAAATATAATAAAAATTGAATGTATTAGTTTTTAAGTAACTGTTGATGAATAACTAAAATCAAACCTACATTTATAGTACTTAAAAAGCATTTTATTAGAAAAACAAAACTCTTCTACCATCAAGCCTTACTTCTATGATTGGATTACAGAAACTAAAAGAGATAGACAAGATCTAAAACTAAACTCCACATTTAGTTAAACCATTGTACTTAAATGTACAGGTAACTCAAATACAAAGTAAATATTGTGAAAAATTATAAAAATTAAAATCTATTTTGGTAGAAACTGTCTTTAATTATTTTTTATTCCTTTAAATACATGTAATGTAATGTGATAATGTAATAGATGAACTTCATTCTTTTTTCTTGGTTTTCCTAGAGAACATTTTGATGAAGCATCTATAAGTTTCTCCCCTGCTCCCTTAATGAGGATTTAAAATATTCTAAGTAGTTTTGAAAAGCCAGTTCTCATCACAACTTTGGCTATAAATATTTCTATAGATAAAAGAATAATAATGATGTATTCTTTTGCTTGGTGTTTTTCAAGTTATTTTTAAGACACACAAAAAATTATAGTTGGGAAGGTCTTCAGCTACCATTTAGAACAACTTCATAATTTTAAAAATGAGGGAATGAAGGTTCAGAAAGCCAAAACTTGTCGGTTATTTGTGGGTGGAACCAAGTCTACTAACTTTCAAGTCAATATTTTCCTATATGATACAAATGTCAAATAGTTGAACAAAATTTTTAAACCAAAAATTCTAGGTGAATAATACACTCAGTTAATACACTGCCATTTGATATCATCTTAGTATACTGCTACATTAAGTTAACTGATAATTTTTAGCCCTATTCTCCCTATTATAGACACACTGGCTTTCTTTCTATTATTTGACCACATTAAATTCATTTCCATCCTATGTTCTTTGTACTAGCTATTTCCTCTGCCTGGTATATTCTTCACCCAGATCTTTGGTTTACTTAATACATAATTTCCATAAAGTAAAATGTATAGCAGAATTTTAGCATATATAAAACTTGTATAACTACCACTGAGATCAAGATATAGACTATTTCCATCCCCATGAATATTCTCCTATGCTCTTTTCTAGTCACTACTCACCATTTTGACTTCTATTACCAAAGATTTTTATCTATTCTTGAATTTCACATAAATAGATTAACTCAGCATGTACTTTTTGGTCTGCCTTCTTTCAACATAATGTTTTTTATATTTATTCATGTTACTGAATTAATCTGCAGCCTATTCTTCTCTGCTGCTATGATATTATATTGTATAGATATACCACAAGTTAGGCACCTATTTTCTATTTATGGATATTTGGGTTGTTTTCAGTTTTGGATATTATGAAGAAAGTTGTTATGAAAATTCCTCTACAGGTCTTTTTGAACTTATATACACATTTCTCTTAGGTAGAAAGTTAGGAGAGAAGTTTTCGAGTCATAACAGGCATAGGTTTAATTTCATTAAAAACTCCCAGTTTTCAAACTGGTTTCACATTCCAACCAGCAATGTTTGAGTCACAGGTGCTTCATATCTTCCCTTACTATGGCGCACACACACACACTTGGTATAGTGAGTCTGATGGATGTACAATGGTATCTTCCTGTAGTTTTAATTTCTCTGACGATATGAAGCAGTGTTTTTCTCATATGCTTACTGGCCATTTGAATATCATCTTTTATGTAAAGCCTGTTCAAGTCTTTTGTCCATTTTTATATTTGATTGTCTTTTTCTTATTTATTTGAAAGAATTCTTTATAGCTAATTCTTCTGGCTATGAGCCCTTTGTTAGACATACGCATTTGTGAATATTTCTTCCCCCAAGTCTGTAGCTAGGCTTTTCATTTCACTATGGTGTCTCGAGGAGATTCCAGATCTCTGAAAGTCTGGCTCCTTCTTGAGTCAGTTTAAATGTAACCTTTTCAAAAAGTTCCTTCCTCCATTCTGCAACCCCCATTGCCTTGTTTAATTATCTTCAAGACTCTTATTTCTGAAATTCATTTGGATATTTATTTGTTTACTGCTTGTGTCTTCCCCACCCTCCCTTTCACCTTCATCCATACTCCCAAATATAATGTGAGAATAAGAATGTTGTCTTGTTCATGTTGTATAATTATTTTTATACAATGTTGGATTCAATATCCCAATATTTAACTGACAATTTTTGAGTTTAAGTTCATAAAAGATACTAGTTCAGGCCAGGCACAGTGGCTCACGCCTGTAATCCCAGCACTTTGGGAGGCCAAGGCGGGCGGATCGCTTGAGGTCAGGAGTTCCAGACCATCCTGACTAACATGGTGAAACACTCTCTCTACTAAAAATACAAAAATTAGCCGGGCATGGTGGCACGCGCCTGTAGTCCCAGTGGGAGGCTGAGGCAGGAGAATCACTTGAACCCAGGAGGTGAAGGTTGCAGTGAATGGAGATCTGCCATTGCATTCCAGCCTGGGCGACAAAGCAAGACTCCATTTCAAAAAAAAAAAAAGATACTAGTTCATATTTTTCCTTTTCTTGTACTGTCTTTATCTGGTTTGGGTATTGGGGGTAATATTGGCCTCATAAATAGCTTAGAAATAGTCCTTCCATTTCCATTTTCCAGAAGAGATTACTTAATGTCAGTGTTAATTCTCTTTAAATGTTTGGTAGACTTCTAGAGGTCTGGTTATTTCTTTCTGGGGTGCTTTTAAATTACTAATTTAATTTACTTAATGTTGATAGAACTATTCAGCTTGCTTACATCACCTTGGTTCAGTTCTGGCAGTTTTTAGCTTTTGAGAAACAAGTCCATTTCCTCTAAATTCTCAAATTTATGAGCAAAAAGTTATAACATTTCTTTTCTTTTTAGATAGGGTCTTGCTCTGTCACCCAGGCTGGAGTGCAGTGACACAATCATGGCTCACTGCAACCTCCTCCTCCTGGGTTCAAGCGATTCTCCTGTTTCAGCCTCTTGAGTAGCTGGGACTACTCAGGTGCACACCACCACACCTAACTAATCTAAAAAAATTTTTTTCTTTTTTATGTAGACAGAGTCTCACTGTGTTGCCTAGGCTTGTCTCAAATTCCTGGGCTCAAACAATCCTCTTGCTTTGGCCTCCCAAAGTGTTGGGGTTACAGGAGTGAACCACCACACCCAGCTTACCATTTCTTTATAATATATTTATTGGCTACTGGATCTGTAGTAAATTAATTACTTTCCTGATTATAGATAAAACTTGTACTTTACATTCCGGATATTAGTAATTTGTGCCTTCTGTCTTTTCATTTTTATCAATCTTACTAGAAGTTTATCAACAGTTTTTTCTGATGGCTGCCTTTTTGTTTCATTAATTTTCTCTATTGTTTTCAATTTAATTGATGCCACTTCTTATTTTCATTATTTGTCTCTTTTTGCTTGCTTTGGGTTTAATCTACTTTTCTTTTTCCAGTTTCCTAAAATTAATTGATATGATAACTTTCCTTGCTTCTCGGATAAGCATTTAGTAAGATAAATTTCCCTCTCAGAACTTCTTTAGTTACATTCCACATATTTTGGCATGTTGTGTTTACTTAATACATTTAGTTGCATGTATTTTAATTTCCTTTGATGATTCTTCTTTAACCCGTGGATCCTTTAGAAATGTGTTGTTTAATTTTCAAGTGTTTAGAGATTTTTCCCGTTGTCTGTTACTGATTTTTAGTTTGAATTCATTATGGTCAGATAAATAGTCTATATGACTTCAGTTTCTATAAATTTATTAAGATTTGTTTTATGGCTCAGGATATGGTCTTAGTAAATATTCCATGGGCACTTGAAACAAAATATGTATTCTGCTGTTATGTGGCATGTTATATATCTGTCAATTACATCCTGATGGTTGATTATGTTGTTCAGATTTCCTATAACTTTGTTGATTTTCTGTCTAATAGTTCTATTAGTTGCCGAGAGCAGAGTGTTGAAATATCCAGGCATAACTGTGGATTTGCAAATTTCTCTTTTCAGTTTTATCAGTTTTCACTTCATGTTTTTCTCAGTTCAGTTGATAGATATATACATATTTATGTCTTCCTGGTAAATTAGTCCTTTAATCATTATTATTATTAGAGACTGAGTCTCATTCTGTTGCCAGGCTGGACTGCAGTGGCGCAATCTCAGCTCACTGCGACCTCTGCCTCCTGGGTTCAAGCAATTTTCCTTCTTCAACCTCCTGAGTAGCTAGGTCTACAGGGACACACCACACACCCAGCTAATTTTTGTATTTTTAGTAAAGATGGGGTTTCACCATGTTGGGCAGTATGGTCTCCATCTCTTAACCTCGTGATCCGCCTGCCTTGGCTTCCCAAAGTGCTGGGATTACAGGCGTGAGCCACTACGCCTGGCCCCTTTAATCATTATTAATGTACCTCTTTGTAGTAATTTATTTTGTGATTTTTTTTTTTTTTTTTTTTTTT